GTGAAATGGTGATGGGAAGCCCATGGGGATTACAACTGAGATAGAAAAATGCACAAAATGAAGAATGATGTAAAAAAATAATTAAAAAAGACATCTACAGAAAGGGAGAAAATATTCACATTATGTAACACATTACTATTTATGATACACAAAGCACTTTTTCAATTTTACAATCAAAAAAGAATCAAACAACTCAATAAATGGGCAACAGATCTGAAGGCAATTCTCCAAAGCAGATATCCAAAAGGCCAACAGATATGAGGTAATGTCCAACATCATTTAAAAAACCACAACGATATTACTTTACATCCATGAAAATGGCAATATATTATAAAAGGTGCTGGAAAGGATATGAAGAAAAAGGAACTGTTGATGGAAATTGGTGCAGTTATTCTGGAAAATGACCTGGAAATGTGCATGACCCAGCAATCCCACTCCTGAGCATCTATCTGAAGAACATGAAACTATCAACTTAAATAATTACATGCTCCACAATATTTACTGTATTATTTACAATAGGTAGGGCTTAGAAACAACCTTAATGCCCACTGATAAAGAACTGGACAAAGATTTACTATTATCCACATAATGGAATATTTGTCAATTACTTCCAGCAAAACTGAGGGCATTCGCGGGAATTATATCTAGTAAAGTAAGTCAGAAAAGATTTAAAAAAAAAAAAAAAAGACGTTTTCATATATATAACACAAAGATAAGCTGACAAAGCAAAGTAATTATATACTCATGCATTCATAAACGCAGTGATGTTCCTGAAATAACATGGACATCCCTGAAGCTGGGAGAAAGGATCGAAGGGGTATTAAGGGATGGGGGGGAGGGGGTGTTTAAAAAAAAAAAAAGAATGTGGAACACAGTGAAAAAGCAGTTATGTAGTAACTATTATGTCTGGCTTACTATCATTTTTACATATATGTACCAACTAGCATGCATTTGGTGTTAACAGAAACTTAATTAACATTAAAAAAAAACCCAACAACCCAACAGTATAAATTAGGTATGTTCTGACCCCAACCCCACTTCTTTCTACCCACCTCAAAAGTAAACCAGAGGATTCTTTCTCCAGGCACTGACCCTCAAAAAGAGTAACTTACTTAATGGCTATGAAGTCACTTAAAACATAAGGGGATGGAGTTGGAGTTTCAGAAACTCTATAAATAAGGCAATGGGGGGAGTGGTTTGGGATGAGGAGGTGATCCCACCTATTTACAGCAGAAAGTGAAAAGAAACGATTTACTCTACATCACTCTAGAGATGGTGCCAAAGGTAAGGCCGGGACGGGGACCCAGCGGCAGTGCTGAGCGTAGCCACGACAGCACCGGGCCAGCCTTCCGAGTAAGGGCCCAAAGAAGCTGGTAGTCTATCAGGTTAGGGGCGCGGGTCCGAATCCCCCAGAGAGCAGCGTCAGTCCCTTCCTCCACCCACCGCCTTCCTTTGGAGCAGCAGTTGCAGCATCGGGATGGCGTAAGCGGCCGTCTTCCCGGACCCCGTGCGGGCCCGCGCCAGGAGGTCCTTGCCCTCCAGGGCCAGCGGGATAGCCTTCTCCTGAATCAGCGTGGGGCTCTGCCAGCCCAGGTCGGCGACGGCCTAGGGAAGACAAGCGCGGCTCAGGCGGCGCACTGCCCACCCGCCCCGCCTCCGACGAGCCTGCCCTCCGAGGGGCCCGCGGGCCGGGCTGCCCCGCCCAGCCGGTACCTGCAGGAGCCGGGGGTCGAGCCCCATGTCTTGGAAGCCCAGCGGATCAGGGTCAGCCATGCCGCCGCCGCTCCGTCGGGCCAACAGGCGTGCGAGACAGGAAGTGCAACGCAGCGTGCAGGCGGGGTCAGAGCACCAGCCAATCGGCGTCGGGCGCTGGCCTTTCCGGAAGTGCCGGGCCTCGCCTTCCTGTCTTCCGAAGGCGCGGGGACTGCGGGATTTCTGTGGCTTGGCGACTGGTCGACCGGGTGGAGGTTGCCCAGCACCCAGTGTGCCTTTCGCAGCCTTGCGGCTGCCGGGACACCCATACTCCTGGTTCAGCACTGACTACCCAGGATGGCGGCAGGGCAGGGTTAGCATGACTGGCGATAGTTGAAGTAAGTGGCGGTGGGGTGCTGCCCCCATCCTGCCTGGCAGATGGCCAAAAATTTAGGACTTAAATTTCACGAAGCTCTTCTTTTAGTAGTAGCCTTGGCATCATAATTTGCTCACACTAAGTACACTCAGATTCAGAACTAGCAGCTTTTATTGTAAAATGTTATAGGGACACTCATCCCTCATGCAGGTACAACAGTCATTCTTATGACTTAAAAGCGACAGGCCCCATCCTGTGGTCTCGGCAGGAATTCTTTTGCCAATATTTTCACACCTATGTGTAACCGAGGAGCCAGATTTAAAAAAAAAAAAAAAGTAAAACTTAACAGTGGATACCTAGCCTGTCTCTACTGTGCGTGCTTTAGAAAGGCTGAAATTAAGTCCTGTGTTGCCTTCCTCTAGCGTCAGCTTATGTTTAAGAAACAAGTGCCCGCCCCTCCTATCAAAAGTCTATTCTTAATGTATAATGTAGACTCATTTCCTGCCTATAACTAAATTCAAATTTGTGCTTATTGGAATAGCTCTCAGAGTAGTCTGTCAGACTGCCTCCCAGGTATGAATCCTAACTTTGGTTTATCTAATAACCCTAATAACAATCACTGAAACTTTATTTCCAGTTACAAAACACATGGCTGTTTGGAGTGTTCATCCGTGGCTCCCTAAAACAGGTTCTGTCAGGGTCCATTCTGTACCCCGTGCCTTGTGCAGTGAAGTTCACTCAGTACCGCAGCACTGCCTTCACAGCCACCCACCATGAGCAGTACAATGCACTGGTGATTTCCTTTGGGGACAACCATGCAGGCAGCACAGTGAGAATAGTTAAAACAAACTAGCAGGAGTAACACCTTTAAGTAGAAAATTATATTTGGGGTACCTGCATATTGCAGAGGTCAGTGAGGTTTTGTTACTGTCAAGGCTGTAGGCAGTGCAAAGGCCAGACAACAATAATTAAAATGTATAAGGTGTGTTGGAAGAATAAGGAGCAAGAAAGAGTAAGGCAGGTTGTCTGAGGTTCCCAAACTTGGCTTACCATCAGTTAGCATAGTTTGGTTTAAATAAGGATTCTTGGTCTCCACCTGTGTTAGCTTCCTACTGCTGCTGTAACAAATCAGTAAACTTGGTGGTGTGAAACACAAATTAGTTACCTTACAGTTCAATAGGTAAGAAGTCTAACACAGGTCCCACTGGGTTAAAGTCAAGATGTGGCAGGCTCACATTCTCTTTTGGCGATTCAAGATGGATAGTTTCTTGTCTTTCCAGTTTGACTCATGGCTGCGTATTCCAACTTCAATGCAGCAAAAGTGAGTTCAGTCCTCCTATCTCATCGCTGCAGTTTGTTTGCCTCTCCTGCCCATTTTTATTACTCTGGGCCCACCCAGGTAACCCAGGACTATCTCCCTAGTTTAAAATCACCTAATTAGCAAGCTTAATTTCTTTTTTCAATATTAGATCTAACATTCACAAATTTCAGGGATTAGGACATGGATCTTGAGAGGCTGGAGAAGGAGCATAATTCTGTCTGCCACACCACACATACAAACTGAACCTGAATGTTGTCCAGGAAATCTGAAGAGCTGCCCAGATGATGCTGTGCATCCACTGACATGGACCCAGTTCACACATTATGGGTAAAGGATGTTGGGAACTAAAAATTGAAGACTGGGAACCCAGTGAGAATTGGGGGAGTCAGATGATGATAGGGGATAAATAAAACAGTCCTCCTGGCTTTTGTTTTGTTTGTGGGTAATGTAGAAGACGTTTTAGTAAGGATGTTATATAATGTAAAAAAGTCCATAATGGAATTGGGTGGTACTAAAGAATGTCAGGCCAAGTCCTATTATCACAAGCCCACATAGTACCATCCACTTAGGATCAGCCAGAGGAAGCTAGGCCAGGAGGCATTCACCAGTTTCTCGTTGTGCCTCACCTCTACCCACACCACTTACTTTATTTCAAACACAGTTACTACAACGTATTTTATTCCACTGGAAAAAATCCGTATAAAGAACCAAATCTGGTTCCCATGGAGAAAACATTTACCACAACTTAAATAAAATTAAAGGGAAGAGGGATGGTAAAGGTGCTGCCTTGTGTTGTTACTACTCACTCTTATTCTGAGGCCCTGTAGATGGAAATCACAGGTATTCCAGAAAATTCTCTGCACAGTTCTCTGATGAAGCTTTGAGAGCCGGTAAGTCAGTTTTCTGGGCTATAGCCCACTGAACTCCTGAGAGCTGCCATTGTAATGATCAAAAATGTGTGGAGTAACAATACAAACGACTGCATTAGAGTTTTCAGCTAGTTATATATAGGCAGTAACAGTTCAACTACGAAGGAAAATATATAATTTATCAAAAAATAGTTCTAATATATAGAAAACATTTCAATCCTCTGAGGCCAAGACCTGCCCCTTATTTACATTCACAAAGTCACTGAGTAAGCCCAGGACTGGCAGGGGAACAAAGAGGGGAGTCTCCTCAGTGAATTATTTTAGCCCCAACTGCATAAGTAGATCCAAAGAAGTGAAAGGAATAGGAGAGAATTTTCATTTGCTCATTTTGTGACAGGATGAAGGCAAAAGTTGCAAGACTTATTCAAGGTCAGTTCCAACTTTTCACAAACTCCAGGACAGATCTTTGACAGTTTGGATCAATGTCCTATGTCCTTGAGAACCAGTGTTAGCCAGTAACTGATCTGAATGTTTTGTTGCCATGGAACAATGAGGCCTAAATTCTTTTTTCATTTTTCTCCCCATGAAACCCAGATGATAAGGTATTGGGTGGGGAAACAACTGAGGTGAAAGGGAAAGATCACATAGAGAGGACACTACACCAGCTTCTTGGCCTCAAAGAAGCTCTTCAGGTGACGCATCTGCCAGATTCCAGTGAGGATGAGGATGACAGTCTGAGCAATGGACCACCACAGGACCCTCTGGTTGGTGCTCTCGCTGGTCAGACGGAAGCGCTCTTCACGATACTGTGTGAGACAACATACTCAGGATTAAATAGTCCCTGGCTGGTACAAGGCCCATCCCTTTTACATAAATATGGAAATAAATGCCTTCTGAAATACTGCCTCAGCTACCATTAGGAGTGCCCTAAGGAAGTGATATACTATTTTTCCACAAGCATTTCTGCTAGGACAGAAATCATGCTTCTACCATTTCAAGCAAGATCCCAAGTAAAGCAGGCTATAGCTATTTCTAGACTGTTCACTTTATTCTAGGGAGCTTAAAAACATTCACTTTGATAGAAACCCTCCATTCCATTCACTGAACAGTTTACCTCCCAACTAGGGAAAGTCCAGAGCAGAACTTCCAGCAGGTATAGTGAGTTTAAAGGTCAACTGCCATCCCAAGTACAGGGAATTGCCCTTACCCTTTGGTAGTCCTGCTCCTTCTGGATCTGTTCCACCTGATCAAGCAATTGGCGGGCTCGGAGTTGCAGTTCTGTCAGTTTATCCTTAGCAGCAATCTCAGGATAGTTGTTGGCATGCTCCCCAACCTGGATGTCTAGGTGCACACGCTAGAAGGAAATGTAGTTGAGGCCCAGAGACATAAGATCAAAAAACACTGACATTATGGTGTCTTGGTAGTAAAGCGCCTGACTGTTTAAGGCTATGCAACCAACTCTTATCCCTGGGCTGTGGGCCAGAAGGGCAACATCTGTCCTCCAAATGTGATTATACCACAAAATGTCACAAACAATCTCGGTCATAAACCAACACTTTGGTAGCAAGCAAGAGTCCAAGTTGTGGCCAAAAAGAAAATTATCTCACCAATCTGCCACCAGCAAAGAGCGCCATCCTGGTAGAGTTGGAGTGCAGGCAGATCTGATGGTCACCTGGAGTGTGTGAAGTGAAGGTGAAGCGGCCCTCAGAGCCATACTGCCGGGAGAGCACCACCTGCAAAACAGCAATCAATGAAAGGCCCCACCTCTACTTTGATCTTTCCCAAGTTCAAGCTCTCGTCCTCTGAGCTGTATGGAAGAATGGGACTTTGCCACAGCCTGAGGCAGCTCAGGCTACCATTAGGAGCCTACCTTGCCTTCAGGATCCTTCACCTCCACGTGCATACCCAAGCCAGGGGTCGAAGGCAGAAAGACTTCCTTCTGCTTATCCCACATCTGGGTGCGGTAGTTCCCTGTGAAGCAGACGAAATCCTCAAAACTCACCTTATCCGCACTGCCCACACGCCCAGAAGATCACCAATATCGTGGCACACGGGTGCGTCAGGGTACACACAGGGCCCTCTCCACCCTCACGCCCTGCTGACCGATGACCATGGTCTCGTCGGGGATTTCCTCAATGAAGCAGCGCTTCTCGGTCTCGCCAATGTGGAAGTAGAGGGCCCGTGCTCCGGTCATACAAAGTACGACCAACACCAGCACCTGCTGCCCCATAACCTGCAGCCGCCTCTCCCAGACACCTGCCATGGCGCGCGCCCCAGGAGCGCGCCTGCGCCCGTCTCCGGGGCCACGCAGCAGGCGAGCTGCAAGTGCGCATGTGCGGAAACGCCCGCCAGCGTCCTCAACGTCCTCAGGCTAGGCCGCGCGCCGGTGGAGTGTGCGCGTGCGCAGAGGTGTCCCTTGTTCCCGGGCTCTTCCCTCCCAGGAGCTAGCGGCTTTTGAGCGTCTGCTGGACGCTGGGAACGTGGACTCTCGGGGTGGAGGGGGTGTTGCGCTACCCGCTGCGGGAACTGCAGTGCTGAGCAGTGAGGTTCTGATAGGGCTAGAGTGTTGTGTGATGTTAGGGCAGCCGTAGCTGCAGGTGAACCTAACTTTTACCTTTCTATCCTCACTATTTGAAGCACTTGTCCTGTTGTTCATCCGGAGGTGGGGTCTGGTGACCTGCCCGGGCGGTGGTGGGCGTCTGGAGCCAGCCCCGACGGTTCGGTTTCTGATGATGATGATAATACTGTCTGTAATTTCAGGTTTTCAGACCTAGTCTCCCAGCCAGGAAAGGCTCCCCGGCCTGCAGTGGAAATAAAGTGGGACTCCCAAGCCGCTGGAACCAGGCCAGGGAAGGTCAAGGAAGCCAAATGGGCCAGTGTCTAGGGCATTTATAAACCTTTGTTCTCCATGGTAAAATCTTGTCATTCTCTTTGTGATTTGCTATTTCTGTGGCTGTACTTCCCTGGGCAGCTCTGTCCAGCTTTACAGCTCTTAGTCTTTCTTTCACTGTTCCTGAAGTTCCTTAAAATTTACTCTCTTTATTAGCCTTAAAACTTGTGCCCTGATTAGCACTCCTGGATTTCTCTGCCCTCATCTCAGAGCTTTTTTTAGCTATCCCAGAGGTACTGCCTGCAATGTCACTGAAGCTGCCTAATCAATCCTAATTTGCAGTAGGACCCTTTGACACCATTTACCAATTGAAGCAACTGGGTCCTTTGGCCAATATAATTTCCCACTTTCTGGTTTTGACTGTTTCTTCATGTCATTAAATATTTCTTTCTATGTTATCTTATAAAAATGAGTCAGGGAAGATTTACTGTAAAAGTGTGTTTCAATCCATTATAAAAATAATCTCCGCCCTCCCTGGTGGTGCAACAGGTTAGGACGCAGCACTGCAAGCCAGCAAGAGGTGCTTCAGTGCAAGTTTGATCCCTGGCCCTGGGAGGTGACCCACATGGCCCGGCAGAATTCTGTCTCACCCTCAGCACTGTATTTCGTAGATCTGCCTATTCTGCTCCCCACTCTTTCTCTGGTGAATCCCCTCACGACCCCTGCACCTCTGGTCTGTGCCCCACTTCTGTATGCATAAATAAATAAGTCTTTAAAAAATCTCTAATGTTCAAGCAGTGTCCCAAAATGTTCCTGAGGTGTTCTTTTGACACTCTCCAGTAGCTTTACAGGCTTCCTTTTTCCATTTTGTGCATTTCCTTCCCTAGACACAAAATCAGTCACTTATCTAAGGAGAAATGCTGAGATTCACTTTACTTAGAAATGGTTATTTCAATTTTGTATTTTTTCCATAATAGAGTACCATGAAATTTGTCCTAATTTATTGTTAATCTTGAAAAGGTTGCATTTATTACTACAGATACCACTTGAACTTCATGAGAAGTGGCTGTCTGTTGAACTGGGAGGAACTGCAAGAAGCAGAGAGCCTAACAGTGACTTAAAAAAAAAAAAAAAAGATTTACTTATGCATCCAAGAACAAGGGTACAGGCCCTGAGACAGTAGGGGGTAGAACAGGTAGATAGACTGAAATACACTGCTGAGGGGAGCAGTGGGACAGGGAAGGTCTGCCATGTCATGTGGGTCACTTCCCTGGCCAGGGATCAATTGAACCCATGCTGTAGCGACTGCAGAGATCTGCCATGCCATGTGGGTCATCACCCTGGCTGGGGATCTAACTTGTACTAATTTGTGGTGAAGTGGCTGTGGCTTCACTGAATATTATTTAGCCTTAAAAAGAAATGTCTGACACATTACAACATGAATGAGGACGAAGTAAACTAAGCCAGTCATAAAGAGACAAATATTATATGATTCCACTTACATGCGGTTCGTAGAGCAGTAAAACTGGAGAGACAAAGTAGAATGATGGGTACTGGGGACGGGGAGAGGCGAATGGGGAGTTCATTAATGAGTACAGAATTTCAGATTTGCAAAATGAAAAAGTTGTTATTTGTTTCACAAAACTGAATGTACCTAATGCCCCTGAACTGTGTATAAATACACAAATATGTGCATGTATGAAGGTACAAACAGGCATGGTAGTTATAAGTTAAGGAATGCTTGGAGCCACCAGATTGAGACAAGTAATAAAATCTCTACCAGAGCCTCTGCAGGGAGTATAACCCAGCTGACACCGATTTCAAACATCTGCTCTCTAGAATTGCAAGAAAATAAATTTATTGTATTAGTCTACCACAAGGTATTTTATGGTAGTCACTTGAAACTATGATAACAAGTGTCTGGCTAGAAGTAGTATAGGGGACAAATTTAGAGAGGAAAGGATGGCTCACTTAGAAAGTTCTATATGTGCCCTCCATGGTGGTGGAGCGCCATACTGTGAAGCTGGCCATGGTTGCTTCAGTGCAAGTTCGATTCCCCACCCTGGAGGTGATCCACATGGTGTGGCAGACCGCTCCTGACCTGTCCACTGCTCCCCTCAGCAGTGTATTTCAGTATATCTGCCTGTTCTGCTTCCCATTCTGTCTCTGGTGAATTCTCTCAGGGCCCCTGCACCCCTGGCCTGGACTCCCAGTTCTGTATGCATAAATAAATAAATCTTTAAAAAAATAAAAGACAATTCAGAATCTATCCAAGGAACACAAAAACATCAATTCAAGAGAAAACCTGTACTTTTATGTTTACTGCAGTACTATTTGCAATAGCTAACAGAAAACAAGAATGGATCAAGATGTGGTACATAGACATAACAGAATACTACTCAGTCATCAAAAGAGATAAAGTCATGCCATTCATGGACCATGTATGGAGCTGGAAGGGACTATGCTAAACTAAATGTCAGAAGGAAAGAGATAAATATGCGACATGGAATATACAGAAATCAAACAGAGGGTCAGGAAAAAGACAAAATTTGCAAGCTGACCCTAGGTATGAGGCACTCAGCTGAGGAGGAAAGGATGAGGGGTCAAAACAGAACACAGTGGGCTATAGTAATGGCTCATGGGTGCTATAGTGGTAAGAGAACTACAGGACTACACCTAAGGGGGGGGGATCAAATACTGAACAAACATGAACAAGGGTGTAAGAAAGTAAATGTAATCACCAAAAAAAAGTCCTATGTGAGAGAGGCCCCTAAAAGGCAGATCACCAGGACATCTCAGGATAGAGTGAAGCCCCAAGGATGGCCTGTCTCGTGAGTTAAGGAAAGGAAGGAGGCTAATGATGTAGGAGAAGAAATTGGGGGGAAGGGAACAAATAAGGGCATAGATGGCAGTAGGGATGGGGATTCAGTTGACCTGTTAGAACACCTTAAGGACTCTGACAAAGGAGTAAGAACACTTTAGGGGGTTTTGAGTAATGAATATGAATGATTAATCCTCTGAAATTTTTTAAAAGTGTACTTATACATACAATAATGGGGTGTAGGGGGAGGTGACAGGATAACGAGGTAGAGTGGAGAACAGAACAGGTGCATCTACTGAAACACCCTGCTCAGGGGAGCTGTGGGCAAGACAGGAGAGGTCTGCTGCGCCATGTGGGTCAGCACCCTGGCTGGGAATGAACTCTGCTGCTGAGGCTGTCAATAGCTTCACAGTGCTGAGACTTAACACCTTGCACCACCAGAGAGTCCCCTGACTTAGATTTTTTAAAAATATTTATTTATACATACAGAACTGGGGTACATGCCAGAGGTGCAGGGACAGTGAGAGAATTCACCAGAGACGAAGTGGGGAACAGAACAGGCAGATTGACAAAGTATGCTAGCTTCACAGTGCTGTGATTTAACCTACTGTGCCACCAGGGAGAGCTCTGACTTAGGCTTTAATGTTATCTTGCTGTCCAAGCAAAAGATGATCATTGTAAAACATAAGGATCATCTATCGATACAAAATATTTTTGCATGTTTAATTTGACCCAAATAGAGTCTTTGTCCCATCTTGCAGTTTACAGGAAATTTAGAGGTTAGAGGACATCATGAGGGCCTCCTGCGGAGCATAAGGGTTAAGTCTTAGTGCTATCGCCTCAAAGGCCTGAGTTTGAACCCCAGCCAGGGAGTTGACCCACGTGGCAATGCATGCCTCTCCTGTCTCCCCTGAAGCTCCCCTTAGCAATGTATTTCAGTCAATCTGCCTGTTCTGCTCCCCACTCTGGTGAATCCTCTCTGGTGAATCCTTTTACCCCCTACACCTCTGGCCTACATTCCAGTTCTATGCAAAAATAACATTAAAAAAAGAGGCCTTGCAGCTTCCATTTTCATTTTCTTAGAAGCATTTTCATTTTTGTGGAGTAACTGAAGTACAGTCTACCCAAATGAATTGCCAGTCACTGGAATACAGCCATCTCTTGGATATTTCAGTTCCAGAGGAGCTGCCCAAGTCAACACCATATGAAACAAAGATGAGTTATCCTTACTGAAGACACTGCAATTCTCTGTTTGGGGAAAATGAACTTGCTTTCTATGAACTGATATAGAAAGATTTCCAGGATATATTACTAATTTTAAAAAGCAAAATACAGAAAAGTGTATGTAGCAAACTATCATCGGTGTTTGCAGGAAAAACAATGGAAAAAATGTATAACAAGTATTTGGTTAGTTATATGTAACATGGATGGATATTTAGCCCATCTACTCTAGCAAGGTTGTACTGGTTAAATATAGAAATACTTCTGTCCCAGTTGGTAATGTCTACTTTCCAAGTCCTTGAATTTCCTTCACCTCTTCCTTCAGACCAGGGAACCTGATTGCCTCATGAGCCAACAAATAAAGTAGCTATAGAAAGATAGGGAAGGGAGTCTCACAGGTCAATAAAACATGAGGTGCATGTTAACAAGGGTA